CTCCGCATGTACAGATCGGGTAAGGCCACCCGATGGCTTGGATGATAGCTGTGGATCATACAAGCACAACAAAGGTCTTTGGGGGGTGTTTCGGCGGTGGTTGGGCCGAGTTATGGAGGAAAACGTGGATTTACCGAAGCCACGGATTCCATTTTTTAGGCTCTATCTCCTCGGCCCCGGCTTCGTTGTGGACTCAAAATACATTCCGTGAAAGCTGTGTTCAGTAGAATTACAACAAACTTGGTTTGAGGCCGATCCAAGCTTTCTACGCCGAGTTAGACGTGTTGTCCCAAATAAAAATTTGTGACAACGTTGTCCCAAATAGCCGTGCCGTTTTTTTTCTCGCTAATAAAATCCTGGTCTCCGTTGGAAGCGACGCGCTGGAAAGCTCGGTTGTTGGTAAACTTGATCGACTTCATCAGTCGCGAGGGAAGGGATTGCTGTACCCTTCTCGCGATAAAAATATCTCAGGCAGGAACCGCAGGAGGGGGTCCAACCCCCCCCTCCTATGTGACCCCGGTTGGGTCGTCTAGCTGGTAGAAGTGGAGGATAGGGGCCAGAGGTATTCGATAAAGTTACACCATTAGACTAGTCAGCGGCAGACGACAGAGTCCAACCATGAGAGACTACAAAAAAACAACAAAAACAGTGTGGTACCATAACCACCTGTATATATATATCGAGTTGTGTCGTTTTGCCTCTCGACCGATTATTCCGTGCCAACGACCCCCAGTCGTACGTGGAAACCGGTTCGAGTAACATTCAGTAGACTTTGCAATGTATCATAACGACCGCATACTGTATTCCAGCCGCACCAGCGACCTACACGCCACGCAACTTGTTTGCGGCTCCTGACCACCACGGCTCATCTCCAGATGACCCGTACCCTGGTCTACAATCAATAACCGAACCGTGAGCCGGCATCATACAACGCACCAGCGCACTAGCTCGCTCTGTATCGATTCGTTGTATGTTTCTGCCTGCCGTGCCTCCGGTTTTTCCTAAGACTCTACACGACGAGCGACATTCGCGCGTACAAAACCGGCCCGCACAAAACCGGCACGTACAAGAGTGTATGTGTCCTGACGGCCGCAGTCCGTCCCGCAATCGCACCAGCGACGACATACATACGTGCTACACATCGTTCGTTCGGCTCCTGATAACCACGACTCATAGCCAGATGACAAGCCACCACGTACGACAACACTAGCTCCCCGGAACAGAACGTCTTGACAGGTAGTAGCTGGCAGTGTTGTCCACTCGTGAGTTTAGCAGTCCCTGTGCTCCATGCTTCAACGTGATCGGGCGCAAACGGAATGTCCTGCGAGCAGCTACCTTCTCTCGGCACGCATGCTTCCTCTTCTATACGCCCGCAGACATCCTCTTTGGCATATAATATATATGCTCACTGCTCATCAACTCCAATATACACAAATTTCAGACTCCTCCCCCCTTAGGTTGAATCCAACTGAAATACTCACATTGAAAGCTAATCTGAAGTTTGAAAGGATTTCATCCTTTCCCCAGCAAATTTATCAAAGTCTGTGCCAGGTCAGACAACAATTATCTGCCTGTGTAGAAATTCACCATTAAATTGTGACGGATTCCACCTCGGGAAAAAACGCGAGAAAAAAGCGTGTTTCGCCAAATTACCGGGTTTCGTCAAAAAACCGTGTTTCGAGGTTCCGCCGCGCCATTTCGTACGAACTTCTGCAGTCCAGCTCGTCTGTTTTTTTTCCCATTTAGACTAGTTCGTTTTTTTTTCGCATTTGAAAAAAACAAACTTCATGCGCGCACGCGCACACATACATCCACCTTTCCGCACGACACGTACTCCGAGAGCACAGCTATCAATCCCTGAGGCAGCTGGTGTGGAACCGGCACGCGTTGGGGTCATTTCTGGTGAACGTTTGTGGTTGAATGAACGTGCTGGGGGCGTGCGTCGTGGGCGTGGTTGGGACAGCTTTCACCCGCACCAGTGACCGCGGTAGCCGCCTCTCCTACGGCGGACTTCGTGTGCATCCCCGCCCCTTGAGGGAGGTAGCGAGTCATCAGTCACACCAGCGGTCAAGTGCTTGGAAGTCAGGGTTAGCACAGCAGTTCACCCGGCGGCGTGACTCGAGTTGGGAGCGTGGATTGAGTTGGGAACGCATTGGAGTTGCCGCATTGCCACTACTGCCAGGACGAGGAAAAGCTCCTCCTCTCCAGCCACCCCACACAACAGAGCCGCCGTAATCATCTGCATGATTTGGCCATGCCTCTCATGCCGAATCTTACCACGCTGTAGGCGCGCCATTTGCTTCAGGACGTCAACGTGCGTGCCAACATCACGCCAAATCACGCCGCCGCGTGTTCCGTGTGTGTGTGCGGAAATTAAAAAAAACAGAGGGGGTACTTTCCATAAAACATTTCATCACCTCCCTACCTAGCAGCATCTGCCAGGCCAGACAACAGTTGTCTACCATTAAGTTGTGGTGTTACTTTTTATCGCACAACAGAGGACTCGTATTGAATGCTGGTTTAAGGAGTTTTTTCCACGCGCGAAGCGCGCGTGCGAACAAAAAACGGAGCGAGCGATAGCGGAGTTTTTTTTCGCAAAAAAACTGTTTAATATGGGTGTTTTGTGTTTCCCCGCCTGGGTTCTGCGCACGTTGAATAACACCGCCTGTCAGCCCGACCCCTGAATTAATTACTGCTCTCACATTGATGTCCGTGTGTGTGTGTGTTTTATTAATAGCATCGACCGCGCTAACCGGCTGACCAATGAAAAGACGTCAGTCTTAGTGCGGTTGAAAACACAAAACACTTCTATCTACCATGAACTGGGACCCCGTGAGGGGGCAGCACGGGGGAGGCTAAACTATCCTGCGGATAAAAAACAGAAACAGCAGTAACAGACGAAAAATGCACGCGTCTACCAAGGCTATTACCTAGTACTCGA